CAGGACGCACGGGTGGCTCTGCTGAATGGTCCAGACATCTCTTTAAATCTGTCCAAGCTTTAAAGAATGGAATGATCTGACCTGATCTCCCCTCCTTCTCTCCTCAGGTGATGTTTTCATCCTCGTATTCAGCCTGGACAACCGCGACTCCTTCCAGGAGGTGCAGCGGCTCAAGCGCCAGATCTTCGAGACCAAGTCGTGCCTGAAAAACAAGACCAAAGAGAACATCGACGTTCCTCTGGTCATCTGCGGCAACAAGGGCGACAGGGACTTCTACCGGGAGGTGCAGCAGGAGGAGATCGAGCAACTAGTGGCCGGCGATGAGAAGTGCGCTTACTTCGAGATCTCCGCCAAGCGTAACGAGAACGTGGATAAAATGTTCCAGACTCTGTTTACATTGGCCAAGCTGCCGCACGAGATGAGCCCCGACCTTCACCGCAAAGTGTCCGTGCAGTACTGCGACATGCTGCACAGGAAGTCCCTGAAAAACAAGAAGCTGAAGGACATTGGGGAGGCGTACGGCATGGTGACCCCGTGCGCCCGGAGACCCAGCGTGCACAGCGACCTGATGTACATCAAGGAGAAGGCGGTCGGCGGCGGCCACGGCAAAGACAAAGAGAGATGCGTCATCAGCTAAGAGACACTGTCAGGACCCTGAATACTTGACACGGATCTTTGAAAAGATGGAGGAGCCTGGATGCGTCCTGCGTGGCCGGCAGCGCACTAACTGACACGGGAGGAGAGAGAGTGTGTGTGTGGAGGCTGCCGACGCTGTGCGCTCCTGCTGGCCGTCTCCAAGGGCACTGACTGTGGACAGAGTGTCCACGACAGAGACTCCAAACACCAGTGCCCACTTGACATTTAGGAATGTTCGCTTCTTCTGTCGCTCAGTGTGTGACGTGTCTTCATACCTTGTGAGACTCGATGCGCTTTCACGCATAAAATGTGTGTGTTTTCATCGACCTCATGCCATTTTGCACACACACATACACACAGAGAGCAGAGCAGAGAGGGCGACTATGAACTCATCAAGTGCAATGATGGAGGAGAGATGATGCTGTTTACATTAACTGATCATGACCTTTTATAATGGTTCAGTTTTTTACTGTTTTGTTGCAACATGGACTATTTCTCAATGTGAATGTGTATTTATTGCCAATGTCACTTTTTTTGCTATGAAGTCGATGACAATAAAAACTAATGAAATTATACTCTGGTCTTCCCTTCTGTTTTTTCTATCTCCATAGTTGGTTCTGTGCCTCATGTTGTTCCTAGTTGTCTTCACACTTGTCCAAATGTTGGACAAACACCCTGCAAAACTGTTCTGTCCAATTTGCAGCCACATGTTTGCTCTTTTTCTTCAGGTCTCAGCTTAATTCTGCACACGACTGCAGTAATCATACACAAAGTATTCATTGTTTTCAATATTAGCAAAAAACAAACATGAAAAAACTGGCAACCATCTGGACTTGATAGAAGATGTGAAATGTGACCAAAAACTTGAAAACAACCAAATACATGCAACCCCCCCAAAAAAACAACAACAAACAAAAAAAAACTTGAAAACAACCAAATACATGCAAAAACCCCTCCAAAAACAACAACAAACAAAACCCCCCCCTCAAATACACTCTCTTTATTAATAATTATTACGAACCCCCCCCCACAAAAAAAATCCCCAAATCCTCTGCAGACCTTCAAATGTGACCAAAAAATTTAAACTAGATCTAAGAATATTCTTGGAAGTATCTAGTTTTTAATGAAAAAAAAATCTAATATTACTGAATATATACTAAATATAACTTAGTACACAGCACCTGAGCAGTTATATAAAGTATGGTCAAAGCTCACATGGTGGTAGGGCGGTTCAGTGGCTTGCCTTACAGTGAGGATACTAACAGTTCGACACCTGGTGTTAGCTGATATATGTAAGTTCACATATTCACTCCCAACTGCTAGTAGGTGTGAATGTAGGTGTGAATGTAGGTGTGAATGTAGGTGTGAATGTAGGTGTGAATCCTGTGTCTGATCCACTGTGATTACGTCCTGCAGGATTAGGCATCGACTAACATGAAATAAAATGAATAAAATAATGATTGTAGTCACATTTAGAGGAAAACAGACGATAAAGAACAAATCGACTTTACAGCAGACTCCAGCAGTTTAGACCCCTGCTTTACCATGATTTTATCTCATCTTATAGGAGTGGAAATGACTAAACTTAAAGGAAAATGTTAATGTTTCACTGAAACTTCTTTAAATTTTTACTTAACATCTGTTTCCTGTCCACCTAGTCCACCTGAAATCACCATCCTGTCACAGTTGTTTATTAAAAAACACCTTCATCACAACTCTCCGTGTCTATTTTTCACAGATGTCAAGCCTCTGACTGAACATCTGGCCTCGGTTCATGTCTACATAACCAACACCAGTGCTGTGAACCAGACACCACTCACAGCAGCTGCACCGTCGTCCACCTTTACTTCCCTGTGAGACAAAAACTAAATACAGTGCCCAGTNNGTCACTTACACACACACACAGAGGAGCTGGAGATTGGGTAAGAAGTCAGGGACACTCAGCCATTGTACTGTAACCCTGCCCTGCTCTGAGTCAGTCACACCGTGTGCTCTGCTGCTGCTCGCATTCATTATGAGGATCAACCATCAGGCTGCTCATTAACCTGCACAGCTGCTCCCATTAGCAGCCATTAGCTCAACAGCATCATTTGGTTTGGGTTTTTTTTTTTTTGGGTTTCTTCAAATGAATTTAGTGTGTGTGTGTGTGTGTGTGTGTGTATTCACACCTGAGAGAAACCGCTGCGCTGCTCCTCAGTGCCTGACCCTTGTGGTGTCACCAACACGTGTGGTTTATGCTGGGTGTCCTTTGGTGTGGTTTGATTCAATGCATTTATAATGTCTGTTTGACATTTCCAAAGTGTGGCTGGCAGCCCAAACAAGGCACACAAAAAGGGTCTCATATGGCCCTGGACCTATTTGATTTGAAATAGTTTTTCATCTCATTTCTCGTCTCTTTGTGCGTTTTGTGGCATAAAAGTTTTAGGACGTAGGTGGAGGACTGGGGGAAAAATGAACAAAAGACAGTCACAGTAGTTTATCTTGACTTGACTTGGAGGACAGTATCTCAGTATTTCAAATATTTGGCTGCTTATACTCTGCTCCATAAACATACTTCTGTTTTTTTCTTTCAGGTGCTTGTTTTCTTTTTTTTATATAAAAATAAATGAACTCCCCAGAGACCTTCTGTGCTCATAAAGCTATGATTATTTCTTAATAAATTAGAATTTGAACTAGCGCTGTTATGTAACAGGACCAAGCTTCAAACACACACACACAGACACACACCTGTTTGTTCAGTTCTCTTTGATTAATTTGATAATATAACAGAGTTATTTCCCCACACATCCTTCATCTCATTCTAAAACACTTCAGCAGAACAAAAACCCAGTCTTATTAGTTTAAACTGAAGATCAACATGTCCAAAATACACAGAGACCCTCTGTCACGTATGACAAATGCACAGGGAGACTGCTGTTATTTCCACAGTGACAGGAGGAGATCCAGGAGGAGATCCAGGAGGAGATCCAGGAGGAGATCCAGGAGGAGATCCAGGAGGAGGTTCAGACTAACGGGGAGGAGACGGGACATTTATCTGCAGCCATTTCCTGAGATCCTGAGGTCTGAGACGGAGAGTGCAGCTGTGGAGAAGTGGCTTTTGTCAACGTTGACATTCTCATACATCAAAGTGCTCTGACAGTTTAACGGTCAAATGTTCAAACGTCTGCATTTGTTATAAAGTATTTTATTTTTTCTTTATTTAGGCGTTATTGAATTCTTCTTGTTCTTAATTTTCATCTTTTTTTTTCTTTTCCTTCTTTTTTTCTTTTCCTCTTCTAACTTTTAAAATAATAATTCTGACACATTTACATTCTGGTTTTCTGTTTGTATACTATTATCTTTCAGTTTCGGTGTTCTTTTTCCTGCATTTTCTGTTTTATTTTGACATCTTCCTCTCTGTGACTTCCTGTTTCTGTTGCTGATGTGACGATGCCTGATGTGTGTCACCTGGGCTCCTCTGGTCACTGTTCCTTATTTACTGTCAGCTCCTGTGTTTTTTCCTCCTGTATATTTGTATATTTATTCTGAACTTTTGACATTTCTTTCCTGCAGTTCCCGTTGCTCCACTGCTTCATCACAGCCTCCTTGATTCGGTGAGTTGATTTTGATAAACTACATTGGATTTAGATTCAGTTTGAACCAAAGTTGACCCTCAAGGTTTTCCTGATGCAGTGTTTCATGTTGTTCTCAGTGTATTCACTCGACCTCTGTACCGGAATACTGTAATTGTTGTTCTTATTACATATTCAGGGTATCGTCCTGCACATTGATATTTAGGGTTTGTCTTGTATGTCTGGCTAACTGTTACCCCAGCTGCCCGTACTTTCAGTTATATATATATATATATGTGTGTGTGTGTGTGTGTGTGTACAGTATATAATGAAGTATAAGACTCAGACATCTGTAAAATCACAGGAACTACATTCATGTCGAGGTCCTGTGTGTCGGTGCGTTACAGCCTGATGGTAATTTAACACTGAAGTCCATTTGAACATCCTGCAGAGATTTCCGTTGTCTTTACTCATTATTCCTGAAAAAAGAAATAACAGATGAGGTTCAGCTCCAGGAATAGGCTGAAAAAAATCCATTAAATAAATAGATGTCATCTGGTTGGGAGGATCATCTGTAGAGTCTCCAGGGTTTCTTGGCAAGTCTCACCGAGACGAGTAACTGAAGAATCAAAGTCTAGGAAACGTGCAGTCAGGATGTTCCATATAGACCATGTGAACCCACGTGGAATCTCAGCACTCTACGACAGAGCTCCAACATCCAGCACCAACCTCAGCTGGAGCTGCAGTCTGGAGACAGATTGAGAGCGAGACAAAAGACAAGACACGTTTATGTCCCAGAATCTCGTTTAACAGTTGTTCAGTGAAATGACATCCATCAGCTTAAACCATATGTTGAGAAGCTGAAGAACTCGTGGCTACACTGGTGACCAGTACAGCACCTGAAGCTTCAGGTTATCATTAAACTCAGGTACCAGTTTGACTTGTTAATAGAGCTGCTGAGTACAACCAACCAAGTGATTCAGTTCTGTGTCTCACTTAGCAGGCAGTTGCTAACACTAGCTAGCTTCTAATTAAAACAATAAAAACTGATTTGAACAAAACACTACAATTAAACCTCATCAATACCAAGGTCCACTGACAAAACAAAGGATTTTAACACCACGACATGTCAGGAGTTGTTGTCAGTAGTTAGGTAGGTCGGTATAAGTTAGTATTAGTAGTATTAGTTAGGTCAGTATGGGATATTGAATGACTTGGGCTGTTAACTGTCTCTGTGGTTCTCTGTGATCGAGTGCAGCTCATGTGACTTAAACTGTGAGTTTAGTAAATTTTTACATTCTTCCTCACTGACGTTTTTCAACGCTTGACCTCTGCTGATTCGTCAGGTTTATTGTTATCATCTCATTAATCAGTGATAAATTCCCAGAATCCCCGTCATTTCATTTCATTTAAATTTTCATTTCATTTCTAGAAAGAATCCTCACTCTCCATGATTTGCATGCAGACCAGATTCCTTCAGTAATTTAATGGTCTTTTTCTCCACACTCACGGCCCATAAAGACATCTCAACACTTTAACTGGAAATAAATCACTGAAACATCCATCATCATCCGTCATTCCTGGAATCGGGACGTAGACGTTGCACAATTGTTTTATATGGTAGAAAAACAGTCAAGAATCAGAGCTCTTTTAGTGATATTTTGCTGGTAATAATCTTTTTTGCTAACATTTAGCTCATCTGCTATCAGTGGTCTGTTACTACTGAGCCAGCTTAGCTTTCAATGGGTTTTCTTTGGCAGTTTAACTACTTTCTTGATTTGCCAGGACTGTGATTGGGACTCTCAGTAAGTGTTTTAATGAAGTGGAGAGTGAATATTTGAGTGTGATGATCCGTCTTATATAACACAGGCTTTGACTTCCTGGTGTTCTTCCCCACTGAGGTGATTAACCCTTTAAACAGCTGAGTGCAGCAGACATTTCCAGAGGATGGTGAGCCTTATTTTCCCTCCACCTGATTACACAACACGTGGACTGAGCAGACACTGTTCTTGGCCCAGACTCACCTATTACACAGAACGTCAGATGATGCAGGAATGATGAATCTCTTAATCTGTGATATATATATTTACGTTTTAGCGGTGCTGCCGACTCTGCCCAGACATGCAACCATCAGACTGATGGTACATCATGACATAACAACACAACACTGTACGGCCTGTTGTTTTTAGAGCTTGTTGTCTTCAGCGCTTGTGCTCCTCAGGTGGAAAGCGCCGCGAGGCCGGTGTGGCCTGAGGTTGCTTCATCAACCAGACGGACCTGGAAAACCTCTGGAAGTGTTGTGTCTGACACCGTGATGAGTTCGTTTCCTGATGACAAGTTCAAGGCTGATATCACGGCTCAGCCGGGGAACATCCTGAGCAGAACGAGGGTTTGATACAGCTGTCTATCAGGTGTACCCAGGTGTTTTTGACCACAGTGAACATACATGTAGTACCTTCTCATCACAGACTGGCTGGTTGACAGTGTTTTTCCTCCTGGTGTTGATTTTTGATGACAGCTCTGTGACCACGCATCAGATTTCTGCAGTGATCTGGACACGGATTAGACCTTGCACTTCCGAAGTTGGGACTTCTACAGCGGTTGTTGTGGTTAATGTCGCACTCGGGTTAAACACTGAACAGAGAAGCGTGCTGGTCAAAAACATTTGAATTGACAGGAACTCCATGTATGGACTGACAGTGTGTTTCAGTGCAGTGACAGTCAAACAACGGTCAACCTTAGCATTAGCCACTGTTAGCTGTAGAACTGAGTATGTTGATCAGGAGCGTTGGTTGGATGGTTGGTTGGTTGATCACCTAGTTGGTTGACAGCTGGTAGCCCTGTTTGATGAACAAAATGGTTTGGTGATCAGTCAGTGTGTGGTAAATAGGTGGAGTTGTTCATTTTTGGTTAATTGATTGGTATGGATTGACAGTTAATAGAAAATGATGATGGTGATGGACGAACAGTTGGCATGTAAGTGATTGATTGTAATTGAATTGTAGTTTAGCAGGGGATTCATTAATTAGTTAATTATAACTGGTCGGTGGTCTGACACCACAGTAGCACAGTTGACTTTAGTTAGGATTTAACTGAGCCACAGGAAGTGGAGCCCAGAGGTTAAACAGTAACAGTGAGGTGTGTGGTGTCACAGGATGTTTTCAGCTTTCATTCATTCATTCATGGTTTTTAACTGACACGGAGCAGGGTAATCACAAACGTCTTGTTGTGCAAGTGTTTGGGTGGACGCCCTGATTAGTGTCACAAAACAGTAACCTCTGCTGAGTTCTGGAACCTGGTGGAAGGACCTGGAAGATACCTGATTGGACAATATATTGTCATGTGGAATTGTAATTCTACCATTCAGTTACATGAGATCTAAACATATGCTGCTGACACTCTCTATTTTTTCAAATTCATTCATATATATACATTTGTATAAATGTGTGTATATATACAGTATATACACTCATTTATATAAATGTATTGTCATTAATTATATTATATATGTATCGTTTTGAAAATGAAATGTTATCAGCTTAGATAAAACTATTGTCCTACTTTTCTTTGCAGCAGTTTTCACTCACACACTGAACCACGTGGCTGAAGGATGGACACATGTCCAGGGCTAAACTGCTCACTAGGATAACCTCAGTGCCTTCTTCAACCCTGCTGCCTGTCCGTGTTTCATTGTGTACGGCTGTGCGTATTCAAAGCTTGTTCGTCTCCATCCAGACATAATGCAATACCCGCCTCCGTCTAAATGTACCAGTCAGTTACTGATGTAAGTCTCACGCTCACAGCCGTGAGTCGAGCAGACGGGATGCCGTGATGCTTCTCACTACGAGTGAAGGACGTTGGGTTTAATGTCAATTCATGTGCGCAGCCTCACGTGCTTCAACACGAGGGTGTTATCAGCAGCACTTATTAAAGTGGACGAAAAGTGGTACTTTACAGTAGGTGCACTGGAGGTCCAGATATACCATTTACAGTAGGTGCACTGGAGGTCCAGAGGCTGCTGTGCTGCTGGCTGTTATGGGATATGTTGTATTATTCTGCCTTTAACAGCACGTATCGCCCTCCAGGTGCAGAAAGCAAATGTAGCATTTCTACAGAAGTAAATAAAAGTCAAACTCAAAACAAATAAAATGATCTAACTTATCTTTAGATAATCATCTCCAAAATCATCGCCATTTGAAGTTAATTAATTAATAAGCCGTGAACTTTGTTTAAAATATGACAACATTAGCTAAAAATGGACAAAATGTACCAAAGCTACCAATTAATTATAATATTAGTCCAAAAGGTAGCCTGAACAATTACGATAGCTAAAAGTTAGCAGAGACATAGAAGAATCTGACAAAAAAAAGGTACGACAAAGTAATCACAATATGAAACAAATAAAAGCAAACAAAACAAAAAAAGCTCAAATTTAGCTTGTGAGTTGCTAACATACTAACTTCAAGCTACAAGTCTGCAAATAGCATCAGCGTTGTTGAGAAAATAATAAAAGTTACTCAGAAATGGCAACAAATACTAAAAGAGTTGGCACATCTACAGCTACGTATCAATACAACATTTTTGGAAATACTTTGCAATTGTCATCTTAAGCTTCTTAATCTAAAGACACCAGTAAGAAATGATTGCATGAATGAAAGTAAAAAATTGGCCAAAAAAAAACTTTCAACATTTGTCCATTTTCTGTTGGACCAAAACAGGCAGTGACTGCCAGAAACGGCACAGACAAGGCTCTTCAAATCATTGAGTCGGAACACACGCACACACACACACACACACACACTACGTGGCCCGTGTGTGTGTGTTGCCGTTTGATGCTGTGCGTCAGTGGATCAGCCTTTGATCAAACCCCCTTATGTCACCACTAATTCACTCCGGGTCTTGTCTGCTCCTTTATAAAACCTGAAGGAGGAGCAGTTTATCATCACATGCAGGACTCTCCAAACCACCTCCTCAAAATTCACAGCAGAGGCTCCTCATCATGGAACCTACACGGTACACACCCTGCTGCTGCTCGAGTGTTT